GACGCTGGATCGTCTTGGAAACGGAGGAAGGAGGAACGAGATGAGAAAAAAGTGTTGTGAATTTTTTGTCCATTTGAGAGCATAGTGGTGTTGCCTTTGTCATGTCAATAAGCATTTAAGTGATTTCTGCCCCTTGTGGCTTGGTTATATGTTTTTCTTTGCTATTATTCTGTTGGATATGAGAACAGATGGTATTGTTTATTCTTATTATTCGGTTACTCAAGGAGTGGATGGTCTAGCCAAGCGGATGCAACCGATGGCCTGCGTTTGCATGATGATGAGTCCGGCTGTATTAGCCACTGAGCTGTGCTCCACTGGTTGTGGCTGGAATCACACATTACAAGCTTACAGCGAGAGACTAGTTACAGGGGTAATCAATGTTTAAGCCATGGGTATATTGCAATAATTGTTGTAGCTATCGATAGAAAGCCACCAGTGTCCCTAGCATACAGTCCAATACCACAAACACTAGAACTCACCTTCCATCAATTTCATTTTCCCTCTCCCAACCTTCGAACCGTCACAATGCCACCCTAAGTCAGGACACACATTATTCCAAGTAATCCCTCGGTCTGACCCGGTCTGACCATGGCCATCAAGTCTCCAATACTTTACGAAAACCCCAGTGCCACCGCCTTTGTGATCGATATTCCCAGCTCCATCGCGCAGGCACAAGCGCTTCCAGGACAGACGCCGCCGGCATCACAACCCCATCCAGCCTCTTCTACCCGAGGATCCTACCATGGAGAAAGGGTTCTTTTATCTTCCGCCCCCTTGAGAGAACCTTATCCAACCTTGACAGAGCCCAAGACCGAGGCCGCGCGGGCAAGGGTTCTAGAGAGAATCCCGCTTGCCGAGAGGCAATATCACTCCGAGATCATCGAGCCGCTGGTGGTTGAGAAGCTGGCGGAGCTCAAAGGAGCACTTGAAAATAAATTTGAGTGGTGTCTGCCTCGCAGTCTCATAAACAACGATGCGCCAGGCAGTCCAGAAGATCCAGCCCAGAGTGAACAGATCCAACCAGGGAAGAAGAGGAAACGGCATCGCAGCACTACTACCACATGTTCATTTTCATGTCTGAACCCAGAGTCTGGCTCTATCCACTCAAACACACTCTCTAATACTCGCAACGACCCTCCATTAATTCTATCACCTGGAGAAAACACATTCTCATCCATCTCAGAGCTATCCAACAACCTGGTCAAAAACACTTCCATTGAGCCAGCTACAGTGAAGATATGCTGTCAATCAATGTCAACAACAGAGGCATCAAATAATGACAGCACAAACTACAACTACCACTCCTTCTACATCCCCCCATCATCCCACTTCCTCCGCTGCACCATCCCCATCTCCGAACCTATCCACAAGTCATCATCACAGCTATTACTCCCGGATCTACCACACGACCAGAAATTCAATCTAATCCTCCTCGACCCACCGTGGACGAACCGCTCCGTGCGGCGCAGTGGGCATTATCAAACGCAGTTTTATAAAGGATGGGATTTGCTTACGGAACGTATATGTGGTGTCTTACGGGGGTATTTACAGTATGATGCCTTTGACAACAGAGAAGACGGCACTAGTGCAGTTGCTAAGGGCCCCGTAGCAGCCATCTGGATTACTAATTCCGCGAAGGCGCGGAAAACAGCCTATGAGGCTATTCGGGGTGCTGGGCTTGAGGTCTGTGAGGAGTGGGTTTGGTGCAAGGTTACGATGGATGGGAGGCCGATTGTGGAGGTGGGTGGGTTGTGGAGGAAGCCGTATGAGGTTCTTGTTATTGGTAGAGTGCAGAGTGCTTGTGGGGATGGGCATGGGGATGGGGGTATTGTGAGAAGGGTTATTGCTGCTGTTCCGGATGTGCATTCTCGGAAGCCGAATTTGAAGGAATTGTTTGAGAGGATGTTCTTTAGTTCTGGTGAGACAGCCGGTTGTGTGCCGTATGCTGCTTTGGAGGTCTTTGCACGGAATCTGACTGCTGGGTGGTGGGCTTGTGGGGATGATGTTTTGAAGTTCAATTCTGAGGAATGGTGGGTTGATAGAGAAGATAATGACATGTGAATGTGAGCTTGATATACTCATACAACGAATCACAACCATCCCCAATATCATCTACCATACGGTAACCGGGTATACAACAACTACATACATCCACCTCACCAACTCAATCAAAAACCTCCCCCAAACTAACCAGACTAAACCTCAAATCCCCCTCTCCACTCCCACTCCCCTTCTCCACCTCCAAAAACCTCCTAACCCCCAACTGCAACGCCCTCTCACTCAGCGCATCCTCCTCCTCCCCAAGCACCCCCCTAACCAACGGTCCCTTCCTCCGCCCATCCAACTCCCAAAGCGTGCCATCCTCGCCCTTCACAAACGCCACGAAATGCAAATCCACCGAGTCCTCCGCCGCCGGCGCATCCGTATCCCCCAACTTCGCCGCATCCGCATGCGCACTCTCCAACGCCTTACTCTCATACAGCAGATCCGCGCGCTGGATCGGCCCCAACCCCTCTGCTTCTTTCAGCAGGTTATCTAGGTCCGAGCCGGGGGTGATGTGCTTCCGCGGCGTGCCGTTCGATACGGCGTGCAGGAGCCCGATGAGTCCGCATGCGTTGCGGATCGTTTGCTTGAACCACATTACGGGTTCGTTGGCCCCGGAGCCCGTGTATTCGGGGAGGGGCGCGTCTTCGGTACGTCGGGTTGCTTCGTAGGCTGCGGAGACGGGGAAGACGAGGAGGAGGGCGTAGGATGGGCGGGGGATGAAGGCGAGGAGGTCCGGGCTGTCGATTGACCAGACGTCTGTGAAGCCTAGGGTGGGGGAGAGGCCGAGTTGGCGGACTAGGTGGGTCATTACTTCGGGGTTGTTTTCTGGGTATATTGTGTTAGCTGGGGTGGGTGTGGGTGTGGTGGTTGAGGGGGAGGGGAGGTACCGAGGGGCACGAAGGCCTTGTTGGTTTGGGGGGCGTCGGCTGTGTCGGCCATTTTGAGGATGTGTAGATTGTATGTAGTGGTGAGGTTTGCTGTTGAGAAGAGGAAATGTTGACTGTGTGAGGGGTGAGAGATGTGTAGGAAAGTTTGCGATGGATGGCGGCGCCGTGAGGGGTTGACGTCGTTGGTGGTGTTGCGGGGTCGATCGAGGGAAAGTTAGTTCCGCTCCGATATAGTTAAGTAGTCTATAGATTAGATCGGCATCAACAATGGAAGTATGGGTTTGCTTACAGCGCTACCTATGTATATGCTTGGTTTTATGGAGTTTACAATGGGAGTAATTGTTGTAGCATCGTAACTCATCACTTTCTAGGGTCTAGTATACTCTATCAATTCGGCAGCGGCTTCTCTCCCCGCTTCAAAGGCCCAAACACATTCGACCAGAGTTCACTGGCTTCACCCAGGAAATAAGTCAAGCTGACATCTGCCATTCCAGCCTCTTCGTCTCCATCGAGTGTCTCCAGTTGGGAGATGATGTTCTCCAGCCCGAACGCCTTTCCTGTCGCCTGAGTTGCACCCGCCTCGAGCATGACATTGACGACATGCACATGGAAATGGTAATACGTCGGTTGATCTATACAGCACAACCACATTAGTAACCAGATACCCCAAGTCCCAAAGCACCAGAAATAGAACTTACAATGCACGTAAAGCTTCAACTGATCCGTCTCCAACTGGGGATACACCCTAACCGTCTCCTCCAACAGCCTCTCCCTCAGATACTTCAACCAAGGGATATGCTTCTTCTTCAGGTCCCTCAAGGACCAAATATCCCTCCTCATGACTAGCGCCAACAAATGCAATGACCCCATGGTTTTCCGATCCCAGTTCAAGTCCGGCAACACCAAGAACCCTCCCTCCTCAGTTCCATCAGGTCCCTTCTCCCGAAGAATCACGTCCTCTTGCTCCGTGCGACCCTCAAGAATATTAAATACCCAGTTCAGTCGTCCTTCCTCACGCTTCGCGCTCATATACGGACGGATAGAGTCCCGGTAGACCTCTGGTGTCTCGGTGACCATGCGCACAACCTGCTCTGAGTATTTCTTGATGTGTGACTCCGTGCAGGGCCAGATGAGGTTGATCTTGAGGTCCGGGGGCTGCTGGCTTCCTGGTGTAGAGTGCGAGGAGGCTAGGTACCATCGGTAGATGTCGTTGTCACCGAGGTTGTTGACGTCGGTGATGGCGGCGTGGAAGGCTTGGAGGGCTTCAGGAGTTTCAGTTGCAAAGGCGGCGCGTTCAGCGATTAGGATGCCTTGCTGGTTGTCGATGGTACCCAGGATAGCGATGCGGCGGCCACTTTGGTCTTTGGGGTTTGGGTTAGTTATGTTGCTTGCAATGGTCTTGTCTGGATGTGCAGGGAGGGGTGATGGAGGGGCTGGCTGGCTGGTGGTTGGTTGCTTGCCTTGTTTGAGGAGTCTGCTCACCTCGAATTTCGAGATGAGTGCCTCCGGTGAGACCTTCGCATCGTTAGTGGACATGGTGAGGGGTCTGTTGAAGATCAGAGGTGTCTATAGAAGTTGTTGTAAAGCGTTGACCCTACCCCAGATATTTGTTCTGGCGGCAGAATCTTGAGGGCGGTCAGGCTTATCTATATGGATTCTCTATCGGATCGTGGTATTGGATTGGTTCTAGCAGCTATCCAGATGGTTGTGGTTACAGAACTTCTTCCGTTGGGTATCTCTGATCATGCGCAGCTAGCCTGATGCTCCATTTCCTGTCCTTGAATCAGGTAGCCTTTCGGCGAGGTCGCAGTCTGCTTAAAGCGACTCGGAGCTTGGACGTCCCTTCTACCTTTGACATGCCGCTAGCGCCACGGCTCTAGCATAATCCTTGTCCATATATGGCTGATTGCAGTAGGTCGGTGGTGTGACTTCGTGTATGGCGATAGGGACGCATCGAATAGGGGGCTTTGCTCATGTGTTGACAGGGTTAGTCAAGGAACCCATCCAGCCCGCGGACACAAATATGTGCCCTCGTTTCGAATGAGATTGTTCACCGTAATCCTTCCCTCAAGTAGACGATTGCTTTTCACTGTCAGGAGTCGTATGCATCTACACTGCATTAGCCTGAGGACAACCCTTATAAGAATATCGACCTACCACTTCAGCCAGCTTAATCCACTCCTCCACTCCCTTAACAAAGGTCTCATCTGCCGCAGGCACAAACTCATGTCCCCAGACCACATATTCGTCAAAGGTGCCTTGCTTCTCAAGGATCTTCACGGGCTCTTCTGGTGTGACTTCCTCGACCTCGACGTCGGCGCTCGTACGGGTAGCAGGCATCGTACGGTCTGTGGGGGTTGCAATGACACCTAAATCAATAAGATTAATGGACTGTCAAAATTTGATGTCCTGAAGTAGGTCTCACCCTCGTAGCCTTCAGGGATTGCGACTCGGCGACCCCTTAGCTTGCGGCCGCGAAAGTAGGCTGTCTGCAGGTTCTGATCTGTGATCTATGAGCATTTGTTGAGGATTGCCGGGCGCGAAGCAATTAGTCTATACCTTTCTCATCAGTGGTAGGCGTCCAGTAGCGACCTAGCGTGTCAACGGGGCCATCGTGGTGGATGCGACAGGGCAGAATGTTCGGAGTGAATTTATCGGTTGATGTCTCGTTGGAAGAGTTCTGGGCGGGTTGGATGGCGAACATATTGAAGTGTGTCAAACGGAATTGCGTGTAATGCAGTCTAAGCAATGTAGAGTTCGAAAATCTGCGTATTTCGTTCTGTTGAGTAGACAATTGTACTATAGATGTTCGGAATGATGTCGGCAAGGATAATTGAGCAAACGCGACGCGTAGTCGCGAAAAGGGCGGTTAATTCCGCGGTCCGCTTTAGTACCAACTGGCGGGGGGGTCATTGATTCCGGCATGTCCTTGAATGATATACAAGTGTTACGAGGCACATCTCTACAGTTTAAGTAGTTTGGTATAATGCTTGTCTATATTCTATTTACTAAACTTCTCTATGGATAACCTTCAACTTCATGAACTTGGGGTATATCGAACAGAACCAGCCATTGCATCCAAAATCACCTCTTGCGGGTCTTCTTCTTCTTCTTTTTCTTCTTCTTCTGATCATCGTCTTGGTCTTTCTTTTCGACCACTACTCGCACAGGCCACTTCTTAAGATGTTCCCGCTCGAATGTATCCTTGTCCCGCCGGTACAGAAGCATCGTAGCCCTAGCATCCTCCACACTGGAATGCGCGCCATCCTGGATCTCCAAGCCAAGGAACTCCGAAGCCAACATCTTCAACCTAGGGGAGCCACCGCCAGCAATCTTTCTGTATGGGGCATGTTTGCTGGTGTCTCTGATGTCGCGCTTGGGGTGGCTGAGAAGAAGAGCGTCCAAGTCGTTACTGACCGCATGTCCCACGAGTATTCGCCCATCGAGGATATTGATAACGTCTTTCTGCACCTGTTCGAGTGTTCGCGCCTCCACCATATGCTTCGGAAGGATGCCGCTGACATGCGTCCGCCAGTCCGTGACCATTTCTTTGGGTCTCACGTAGGAGTCGTATATTTGTTCGCCGTTGAAGTTGACGATACTAACTCGCGCGAGAGCGGAATCGTGATCGGGATTAGGGCCAACGCCCACCATTTCGCAATCCATCGCAACATATTTTCCTAGTTCCGCGCTAATAGGACGTTAGTAGTTATTCAGAGTAATGCCTTTTCGCAAATCGGCAACAAAGGTGTACTCACGTAGGTGAACGGCCTTCATTAATCTTCGGCTTTGATTCCGCAACAGTGACCGTAGAATTCCTCCGAGACGTCGACTTCTTTGTAGGCTGCTCAGCGCCATTCTCGCCGCCATCAGTGCCGTTTGTAGACATCCTCTTTCTCTTGGCCGAGACCGGTTTGCGCTCAGGTTTTTGTTGTCCGTCGACAGTTTCTCTTTTCCGCTTCTTTACCACACCATTCTCCGTCTCGCGATCCGAGGGTTTCCGTTTCGTGGTGGAGACGCTGTCCTTTTTAAGCGTCCCCTGGAGTTTCTTCCAATTGCTGGAGAGGTTTTTCAAGTCCATTCCAGTGATGAGCCTCCAACTATTGCATGGTGAAGGGATCTGAGAATCCAAGAGGGGCCGGAGAAAAAAGATGGGCGCTGCGGAGACTGGCCCGGCAACTTTCCAAAAGCAACCTTAACGGTCCGCGCTAAATTTTCGGACGGGCCCACCTGCAAGTCTCGAACGCTGCGAAGTAGATATTGCTGGTCAACATGCAAAGTGTATTCTAAAGACAATCTTACATTGTCTATACATGGTCTTGGTGGGTATAACTACAAGAAGGAATGAGATTTGGCTATAGTCGTAAAGTTCATGGATTTAGTTGAGGCTCATACAAACTTTTCTATGTCCAGCACTAGCCATATTACGTGGAATCTATCTTGAAAGAACCGACACAAGCAAACGCCAAAAGAGTAAATATTTACAGACCCGGAACCTTGAAGTCCTTGTGAGACCACTTCACTGTCACGTCTCTCTTTGCCTTCTTTGCCTGCGTAACCGGCTTGCGAGACTCCAGCTTTCCTTGGACAACCAAAGTGCGGAATCGGTCGTCCAGCAGGTTGCCCTCGGGCTTGAGCAGACGCAGAGAATCCTGCAACTCATCTGGCAACACAACCTCCAGAGGCTTCTCAGGAGCGCTATTGATTGGATTAGCAGGGCTCAAAGCAAACACAGACGAGTAGATCACTTACTATAGCTTTCCACCAAGCGGTTTCCGACGCAAAACGGTATCATCACCCTCTTCCGAAGAACTGTCCTCAGATTCCTCGGCACGAGCAAGCTCCTGTGCCTCCACAAGTTCGGCGGCCTCCTTAGCCTTTGCGGCCTGCTCTTCCTTCTTCTTCATCTGCTCTTCCCACCTGGCCTGCCTCTCTGCTTCCTTGCGTCTCTTTATCTTGTTCCTCTGTGCCTTTGTCTTCCGCTCCGGACGCTTCTTATTCAGCCAGTCCGGCTTCTCATATTCGCTTTCAAATCCTTCCCACGCGCTCTCATCATCGGACTTCACCATACCATCATCGTCTTGGGCTTCGGCGATTAAGCGCTGCCTTTCCTCTTCTTTACGCTCTTCCTCCAAACGCTTCTTCTCAGCTTCGACGGCCTTCTCTCCCTGCTCCTGTAGCAGGCGATCCCAGTCCTCGAACGTCGGGTTATAACTGATTCCGGCAGTAGGCTTGCGGACCGCAGGAACCGGCTTGCCATTTGCGGCGAGTGAGATCGGAGCCTGCTTCAAGGTAACCGGCTCTACCTTGGGCTTCGGTTTCTCCAGGAAGTCGAACTGGGGATCGTCCAAGGGAGTGGGATCCTCTGCATCTCCCCAAGGGTCGTAAAGGTCATTTTCAGCGGGCTTGTTGACCGGGTTCCCTTCCTTAGCCACCTGCTTCAAACGCAACCAGTCTTTCCTCGTAACCCAGTCGCTCTTTTGACGCTTGTTTGTCGGTTCGATAACACCGTCGGTAACCTTGGAGTTCGTGCGCTTGCGAGTGTCGAGACCTGGGATAGCGGAGCGTTGCGCCAAGATTTCTTCCGACTTCAAAGGCTTGTGCTTCTTCTTGTACGCTTCACGGATTTCTGATGAACCCTTGGTGTCGATAACGAACAGCTCATCGGACGGCTTCTCAGAAAGAAGACCACTAGGAGAAAGCGACCAGAATTAGCTTGTTGTGCCCAACGTTTGCAGAGAAGTAACATCAATCCTTACCCTTTAATCTCTTCTTCCTTCAGAACCCGAAGGCCTTCCTGAACCTCATCGATATCGACATTTTTGCGCCAGGCCTTCTTGCCTTTGCGAGAAGGCTGCTTATACTGCTTTGGTGCACTGACGGCTTCAGACATCTCGGAGACCCCACCGGAATTTAATCGGTGTGCAGTACTCTTGTAAATATTTGATCTTTTTTCGGAGTACTAATTTTTGAATATTCCAACCAAAATTCTGGACCCGCTTACCTAAGAATGCGCGGGGCGACGCTAGTGCGGTTGTCGCGCTAAGGTTCTGCGCGCCTATCGCGGGCCAGTGACGAACGCCGCTTCAGGACTTGACCTTGCTTTTCACCCGCGTCGGTTCCTTATCGACTCTGGTCAGCCTGGACCAAGCAGTCCAAATCGTTAATATATTTCGGCCTCTGATTGCGCTTCGTCGCTGTATTATACTACTTTTTGTTTTATATCAATTTGTCGCTGTCAGCGGCTGCAGAACTGCCCAGCCATGCCTGTCGTCAAAGGAGGTGTCTGGTAAGTGCATAGCTATTATGCATGCTTTTTGTTGCATTTCACTAACTGTAGCTAGGACGAACATCGAGGATGAGGTGCTTCGCGCGGCGGTATGCTACAGCTAACTCCTGTCCAAAAGCCGACTGGTCTGCGATTGGCGATACTAACGCTACATATAATAGGTCTCGAAGTATGGTCTCAACCAGTGGGCGCGTGTTTCTTCCTTGCTAGCACGAAAGACACCAAAGCAGTGCAAGGCGCGTTGGGTGGAATGGCTGGATCCCGGCATCCGCAAGGTCGAGTGGTCGAGGGAGGAGGATGAGAAGCTGTTGCATTTGGCCAAGTTGATGCCAACACAGTGGCGTACAATCGCACCTATCGTGGGACGGACAGCAACACAGTGCTTGGAACGCTATCAGAAATTGCTGGATGAAGCGGAAGCGCGTGAGAACGATGAACTTGCTTTGGAAGGACCCGGCGCAGAGTCAGCTGCTCCCAGTGCTGACGATGTGCGACGGCTACGGTACGACTCTTGATACCACACGCTTTGCTAGCTTCTTTTTCATATACTGACAGTACCTAGACCCGGCGAATTGGACCCCGATCCGGAATCTAAGCCCGCTCGTCCTGATACCATTGACCTCGACGAAGATGAGAAGGAAATGCTGAGTGAAGCTCGCGCTCGTTTGGCGAACACACAAGGAAAGAAGGCGAAGCGGAAGGCCAGAGAGCGGCAATTGGAAGAATCGCGACGACTTGCAGTCCTCCAAAAACGACGTGAACTCAAAAATGCTGGCATTAACATCAAGGTCGTTACCCGCAAGCAGGGTGAAATGGATTATAACGCCGACATCCCATTCGAAAAGCCAGCAGCCCCCGGATTTTACGATACCATGGACGAGGAAGCCCGCAATGAGAGGCAACGTGAGATGTTCGATCCTCGCAAGCAGCAGCTCGCCAACAAGCGGAAGGGAGATCAGGATGACGAGGCGGAGCGGAAGAAGAGGAAGAATGACAAGGGTGGCAACTCCGCGGCGTTCGCCGCTGCTGCTCGTGCCGGCCAGATGCAGAAGATCCGCGAGGCGGAGCAGAGCAGCAAGCGAAGATCCCTTGTCCTCCCGGCCCCTCAGGTCAGCGAAGGTGAAATGGAAGACATCATCAAGATGGGTATGGCCGGTGACAGAGCCAGTAAAATGGCAGGAGACGAAGAAGGGGCTCGTGGTCTGGTCGGAAACTATACTGGCATTGTCGGTGGGACTCCCATCAGAACACCTCGCGCGCCGCCAGAGGAAGATCACATCGCGAACGAAATCCGCAACATCAGAGCTTTGACCGAGACTCAATCATCGTTATTGGGAGGCGAGAACACTCCCCTGCATGAGGGAGGGTCTTCCACTGGATTTGATGGAATTGCTCCGCGTCGTCAGCAGATTGTTACACCCAACCCGATGGCAACACCGTTCAGGCAAGCCAATGGCGTCGGTGCAACTCCTATGAGAGGTGGTGTTGGGCCTGGTGCGACTCCCTTGCGGACCCCTCGGGATCACTTCGCTCTGAACCAGGCAGAAGGTGGGCAGCTGATTGGAAGTACACCCAGGGATATTAAGATGCACGAGAATTTCATGCGTCAAAGCATCCGCAGCAAGCTGGCAGCCCTGCCAAAGCCCAAAGAAACGGAATGGGAGCTGGAAGAGCTTCCTTCCGAATCAACGGAACCAACGGCTGCTGCTGAGTACGTGGAAGAGGATTCAGCTGAGCGCGATAGAAGGGAAAAAGAGGCTCGAGAGCGCGCCGCAGCGGCCGAGTTCAAGCGTCAGTCACAGGTGTACCAGCGATCCTTACCTCGGCCGAGTGTACTAGATATCGATGCGATGATGGAACGGGTGTCTCACATCACGGATCCCATCTCCAGTCTTGTCGCAAAGGAAGCCGCTCTTCTCATTGCGCACGACGCCCGCAAATTCCCCACCCCCGGTGCTAAAGTGGAGGGCAAAGCTCGCAAGCTGGAGCAATTAGATGACAGCTTCATGGAGCAAGCCCGTGCGGCTATTGCAGCGGAAGCCGCCAAATCCGAAAAGCAGCAGGAGTGGCAGGAAAACTTCGACGAGCAGTGGACTACAAAGCATTCCAGCGCGCTACCAGGGCTTTCCAACTACGCTGACGATGAAGAGGAGGATGTGTACCAGCAAGAACAGCGAATGATTGCAGCGTTTGACAATGTACAAAACTCTCTGCTGGCCACGGCAGAACGGGGCAACAAGCTGGAGAAGAAGCTCGCTTTACATTACGGAGGCTATCAGAACCGGGCGAAGATGCTCCGGACTAAGATAGTGGAAGCCCACACAGCCCTAGAGAAGACGACGGATGAGCTGGATGCCTTCCGTACTCTGCAGATCTCGGAACAGTCCGCTCTCTCACGGAGACTTGAGAAATTGAGAGATGACGTGGCATTCGTGATGCGCAGAGAGCGGGAAGCTCAAGACCTGTATAGGACCCGGAAGGACGAGCTTGATGAGCTCGTGGCAGGAACAGGGGGAATGGTTAATGGGTGGCATTGAGTGGTTTAAAACAGATACTTAGCTTGAATTTGAATCTGCGTTTCTGCAGCTCGAAATGTAATTATACTTTCCTATCAACTACTAGAGACTAGTACTACTGACCGACGTGCTCTGCTGGCTCACTGGTGTGTGCTTCGGCATTGCTAGTACTAAGTATTGATGCTATTATTGCGATCACACTCACATGGTTGTACTATTTAGCGGTTAAATATACTGAAGCTATATAGTACTAGTAGTATGCTTCTCGTCTTCAATGACCAGAACCAATTTAAACGAACTCCATAATACTTTATATTAGCTACTGTAATACCCAGATTTTAAGCTATTACAATTCAGACACCTCAACCCGCAAGCAATGCCATGGTGAGTAGGGCGATATAGACTATTACCACTGCAGCAGCACGAACCCGACGGATCCATCAAAGTAACCGGCGCAGCTGGGGATGGATGGATGACCAAAAGCGGATGGCAAAAATCTAAGGCGGTCTCTTCCGGTGCATCGCAACGGAGAATCCTCCATCACCTCCTACGATCCCCTTTCGCGTTTCCATCGCGCAGTTCGCTCCACATAGCGATTTCATCTAAATAACCTCTATAGATATACTGAGAATCACCCCTTCTTCAATATGGGCGGCAGGGACGAGGCCACCGGGACCCCGGACCCCGTCGAGAAGGGGTTCGCCACCCTCAATACCATCCGGTAAGTCGATGAAATATTTCTTTGAGTTAAGACTTAGGCTTTACGGGCCTGCTTTCCTCGGTCGCATGAACTAATCAAGGCGATAGGATCGGTGTCAAGGCCATGGTGCAGAAGGTCAGTTTGTTCGTCGTGATCTTTTGCGGTGCGGCCGTGGAAGTCACATGATACTCATCTCTATACTGGGATCGATTGCCTATATCGGAATGATCACTGACTGGTCGGTCTGTGTAGGATGGAGAACTACGAAAAGCAGAAATTCTTTCGATAAAGCAGCGGAAAGATGGTCCTTCTTTCTAGTATGTTTCATGTCCCTCTCTAAAGTGTTGTGATGTTTGTACTAACCACCTCAGCGTCCACTATGTCGACTTCAACAAGCGTCTTGATGGTAAGTCGGGCTTTATTGATTGATCTACCATGCTGCTCATGCTCACTTTGCATCTAGAATGGATTGATTCCGGAAGAATAGACCTGTCACATGAGGTTGAATGGCCTCAGCCAGAGAAACCGGAGAAGAAGAAGACCGGACCCGGCAACAAGGCCCCTAGTAAGAACGCCCAGAAGCGTGCTAGGGCCGAAAGCCGGGATGTATCAGCGACGCCTGATCTTCTGACTGGAAAGAACACCAATGTTGGCAAAGCCCAGCGTCCGTCCAAAGCGGGCGGCAAAGAGAACCGCGACGAGACCTCCGTAAACCTCTCCATCGGAGGTTCAGAAGCTGTCTCCGCGGATGGAACCCCCAAGCCTGACTCGGATGATGTCGACATGATCGATGTCGGCTTTTCCAAAGATGAAAAAGAAGAAGCGAAAGCATTAGGTCTGATGTCGCGCGAAGAAGAAATCGAACGCCTACGTACTAGCGGTAGTATGACCCAGAACCCAACAGAGATTCACCGCGTGCGAAACTTGACCCGTCTCCAAATGGGCAAATACGACATCGAGCCCTGGTACTTCTCACCATACCCGGCATCGTTCTCCGACGCAGACGTCGTATACATTGACGAGTTCTGCCTGGGATATTTCGACAACAAGCGCGCCTTCGAGCGTCACCGTTCCAAATGCACCCTCGTGCACCCGCCCGGAAACGAAATCTACCGGGACGACTACATTTCATTCTTCGAAGTCGACGGCCGCCGCCAACGAACCTGGTGTCGCAACCTCTGCCTACTGAGCAAACTCTTCCTCGACCACAAAACACTGTACTATGACGTCGACCCCTTCCTCTTTTACTGCATGTGCAGTCGAGACGAAACAGGCTGCCATCTCGTCGGCTACTTCTCCAAGGAGAAGGACTCCGCAGAAGGCTACAACCTGGCCTGTATCTTAACCCTCCCTCAATACCAACGCCGCGGGTACGGCCGTCTCCTCAT